GAGAAATGCAAGAAATGCATTATTGCTCAGTCTGCAGCATCTTTCCCAGAACAAACGCCAATTACAAAAAAAAACTACTAAAAATAAACCAAACACAACAAGAAGTCCAGAAGAAACGCAGAAGAAAAAGATGTTTAGAACAGCGTGATGTTGCAAAGAGTGAACGACCTTTGGCAAAATGTAGCAGCCTTTGCAAACAAAGCAAATGGCCTCGATCTTGGTTCCACTTGCCTCTGACCTGTGACTTCAGTGGAAATGTCAGATTCAGGATCTGACACAGACTGATTCATGTTCTACAGTTCTTACAAGTTCATAGAAATTTCTGTTCAATTAGAACCAAATATTTGAGTTGATGATTGTATTTTTTACAGTTTGTGTTTTAACAATTTTTTAAGTCAATCAAAAAATTGTCCTCTTTTCTTCCAGGCTACTTAAATTTATTTTGGGCTACCAAAAACTGAAGAGTGTCTGCCCGAAGGGCTACCAGAGATTTTGAAAAATATTACCTGGTAGCAGAGCTCAGCCAGGTGCGGCGCCTGCTGTGTGAGTGCAGGTCCCGATCTTTTCTCTGTGCCTCTCTGCAGCCGGCTCAGGATGGCGTGCAGGCAGCTACGCGGGCACCCTAACACACCTGTAAGACAAACACACTTAAATCATCCGATTTTCTTTCCACTTAATCCATAAAAGGTTCAAACAGTGTTAAACATCATAACTGCTACCAAAAGGAACATATTCCCTGTAAAGGCCAAACTCTCACCCGGGTCCTGGAGATTGGTTGACGACACAGGCTTCTTCACTTCATAGCCCAAAAGATAAAGGGCCAGATTTGGTGCCTTCAACTCCAAAGACGTAATGAGCAGGTTCAAAATATGGATCTGGGTTTCATGCCGGATCCTTGCCACCTTCTTTTGTGAGTCTACGTCTGAAAGTTAGTATTCAAGGTGTAAATTAGCAAGTCTGAGTGTGACAGGTTTAATAATTAATAGGTGAAGATCGTCTCACCATCTTTCTCTGTGCCCTCCTCTGCGTCTTCATTGTCCAGACACTCCACAAAGCCTGCCATGAGCTTGTCACTTACAGCCTGAAGTGGAGACGTTTAAATTAACGTCTGCTTTAACACAGCTAACGCTTACATGCACACAGTAAAAACACCCCGAGGTTTCATGAAACCTGATCCAAATCATCTTGAAAATTTCAATACTGTTCAATTTACTAATATATATGAAAGACAAACGAGTTTATATCGAGGCAACTGTTCCATCCGATTCAAAGTATGACACGTGTTTCCAGACTGTTCAGACTTGGACGTACCTGGTCATGTGTGAAGTCTCCCACCAGCCTAATCTGAATGTTTGGGTAGTTGGCGATGCGACGCAGAATCTTGGCGCTCTGGAAGGCGGCCTCTGGGTTTGAGCTGCTGTGGTAAAGATACCTGCCAAAGACAAACGGCAGAGTTCAGAACTGTGCTGCAAAGACTGAGTTATAAGCTTTACTGAACACCCAACATTAATAAAAAGTGAACAAAAACACATTACAGTTCAAACATTATTTTAAAAAAATTTACCTCGCAATGTTGACAATGTGATCAGCCCTTCTGGTTTGAGGGCTGACGCCTTGGAGGAGCTGCTCCAGGGGAGAAACCAGCAGAGAGGCCTGGCTCTCCCTAAGAAGATCCATGAACACTGCTTCCTTCTGCAGAGCCAAGTCCAAAAGGCACAAGCAGTGCAACACCGCAGACTCCAAGTGCTTTTTACCTGTAAGGGCAGAGTGATGCACTCTTCTGTCAGAACAAAGACACAAGTTCTCTCCATTTCCCTAACAGCAGAGCATGCTTTCTCACCGGGGAAAGGTGCATAGGTGTCCAGCTGGCGGACCCCCTCCTCCAGCAGGCTGAGGCAGAGTGCCAGCATGGGCGAGTCATTGAGCAGGTGGAACATGATGCTGTGGCC